AGTGCCCCCTAGGGGCAAGCCCCAGTCCTGTTTTCTTTTCCAGGGTTGCAACAGCGCCCCCTAGAAAAACAAGTTGCACCATCTAATCAAATCGTGTTTTGTGCTGCTTTATGCCAATGAAATTAAGGCTAGACAGCATATGTATTATATTCTGACCAATGGGGTTGCCGTATTTTCAAATAATTAGGATAGACTTACCACTTCAGCATTCCTTTCATCACTGAAGTGATATACATGGTCAAAAATTGACTAACTTTCATTTTTGTGTCAACTGCAGAGCAGAACAACACTTAGAGATCACTTTACCTGGTGTCTGTCTGTCCGTCTGTCACACCTTATAGCTCCAAAAATTTGAGAGGCAGGGTTTTGATAATTAGCATTTATATATGTTTTTGAGCTCATGATACTATACTTTGAAACTGTATGAAATTCAGTTACCACACAAACTTATATTTAAAGACTATGAAAATACATTGGGATCAGTATTCCACAATGAATCGTGTTGACTGACAAAGTGACAATTAAAGTAAAGACAGTCTGAAATTCCTTTCCTCCGAGGATTGTTGGAAGCACCTACATGTGTATTAATAAAATGATAAATAGTTATTCATCATAATTTCAATTTAATTATTCATTTGAGGACTGGGGAACCATATTTTCTTTGATTGCCAGATTCTATCCCAGTCTTTTACTTTTGGATCCTTTTTTTCCCTTGCAGGCAAATGCATGAACCTCCATGCTAATATTAAATTAATAGCTGACCACTCTTAGATTTATTTACCTCTTTAATGACGATACCTAGCAGGTGACATATACATTCCTTGAAACACTCTAGTTCCTATTTGATTTTCACTAATATAAAGATTATTGAAAAAAGACTAAGGTGCCCTATAGTGATCAGTCTATTCATTCATCTGTCTGTCAAATACACATATCCCTTGTTCAGAATACAGGTGACTCTAAATACTTCAAAACTTTATATTTTTTAATTAGATACATGTAGCTGCTTTGGAACATCTGAAAGGTCTATAATATTATCACTAGTTTTACTAATTTTCTTCATGTAAGTTGAATATATTTTAAACTTTTAAATTTTTATTTTTTCCAGGTAAGAAAGAAATTCAGGAGTTCTTAAATTGCCCTTGGAGTTCTTGGATTGCATCAAACTGCTAAAAGACCTCAACAAAAACAGCGTCTTGAAAATAAAAATGAAAAATATTCAGAGAAAAAAAAATGATGAAAGAGCCACTAAAAATCTTCAAGCCTTTGAGCTGAAATCTGGAAGTCAATCTGTGGACTTTACTAGTATGTCTTACTAAGTCATCATTTGTGTATAATAAATACACTAAACTGTAAACACTTGTTAAAATGTGTATAATTTTTAGATATAATTTGTAGCTCACAGACTTCAATAGTTTCATGTAATTTAAGTAATAATGAAAATTTCCTGTTGTCTAGCTAGATTAGAAATTATTATTGTCCAATTTTGGATATTGTGAAATAATTCATCTAGTATGCATACATGTGTGTACACTTACGTGTAAATTAATTGTTATAGCAAATTCAATCGATCATTAAGTTGAATGTTGACTAATGTTTTTCATCGAAATTGTTTACACTGAATTGTTTGTGGATTTTTCCATTTGCCCAATGATGTCAAGGAGCACATGGCAGGAAATGCTTTCTCCTCCATTGCACCTGGTGTTTTTAGAGGTCTGTGTTTGCTCTGCTCTAATTATGTATTGTTTCAATGGACTTTAAAGCTTGATCACTGTTGGACCCGGTAATCTTCATATTTCATATACTATTAGAGTACTTGAAGAAAACTGTAAAGATTTAACATACAGTATAATGCATGTATATTGCACTTTAAGTACAGTGTATGTGGTTAAGAAATGTTAAATCGTCTCATAGTGCATTGAATTTGTTGAAAATTAGAAAATGTGTTGAAATTTTTTTTTGAAATAATGTTAGATTGCAGTTTTTTTAAATCATGCAAGTAAGAAATTGCTAAATATTTTTTAGCTTTTCTGGACAGTCTAGATGAGTTCTTACTATATACCTAGCATTGTATCCCAGTTAAAATTTAAGGAGCAAGGTTCATTCCTAAGCTCTACCTGGACAAACTTGCATGGATTAAAGCACATTAACAGATTTACTTCAGATGCTTGACCTGATCTACATTTTCCTCATGTGTTTTTGTTTTTGTTTTTGTTTGTTTGTTGTTTAACATCCCTCTCAAGAATTTTTCATCCATATGGAGATGCCACTACTTGCTGGTGGAGAGCTGCAAAATTTGAACTATACTTTGCACTCAGGGCCTTGAGCAGTAAGGGATCTTTTTTGTGCCCACATCAACTGCTAGGCGGGACCTCGGTTTATATGGTATTATCTGAAGGACTGGTCCCCACATCCCCAGTGGATTTGAACCTGAGACTTAAGGATTAAATCCTTACTCGCGACTCTAGATTACAAACTCTATCCTTTGCGCCACATGGGGGATTTCACAAGATTAAGTGTTTTGAGCAGTCCTATTCTCATGTAATTATAAACTCTATGTTGAACAAACCTGCAAAGATGATGTATGTACATGTAAATGTTTCAGGGTACCAATCCTTGATTTGACTTAGATTTTCTGGATTAATGACCAGTTTTTTAGAGAAGGTTCATTCAAAGTAACAATATACTCTTTGGTGATCAGTAAACATAGATGATATATCCTGCTTCTGATGCTGGATGTAACATACATTTTCAGGGTTATTGAGCAGTTTAATCTAACCCAGACCAACTTGCATAGATTTTGGATCCAGGTGATATACATTACCAGAGTGTTTGTTGAGTGAGACTTTGCCTTACTAGTAGATAACATTTATAGAAGTGAGCTTTGTATTCTTTGATTAGGTATGTTTTTTCTTTGCTCAGGATATATATACCATCAGTGCCAACTACCATACATTTTATATAATAGATGTAGCTGTTGTTCAACTGAATATGATAAAACTGTGGATGAAAACAATTTGATTTTTGTACCTTGGAATGTATTGAATTAATTTGTAAAAGCTGTTATGATACAATGTTTGATATTTTATAAAAGTTTTTAGCATTGATATGCAATCAATAATTGTATCAACATTTTCATTTTATTATACTTTTTACCCTGCAAACTTCTTAAAAACAGAATAGTAATGATCCATTTAACTGCTCTGATACTAGGTTAGTGTCACATTGTACTGGTATATCATGTATACTGAACTGTAAATAAGAAACATCTAAATAGGTAAAATCACAGCATGAATCATTGGATTATTTAAGAAGTGCTCTATCTTGTGCTTTGGTATGGTATTAATAATAAATGTTAAACTATCATTTTTTTTTCAAATTAACAAAGGATATGCTTGAGTGACTGTATTTTGACTAGCAGTAAAAATAAAATGATTTTTAAGCATTTGAATTATGTTGATTCATGGTCTCTGCAAGTTTAATGATAGCAAATATGTATATTGAACATGGCATCCACATATTGCTATACTGGATGGGGCATAACTTTTACTGAATCTTAATCACAACCTTGAAATTTTATGTAGTACATGTACTCTTGGTTTCAACTGGTCAAATGTATTCTTAAATCACAAAGAATTTAAACAAATGTAGGCATAGGTCAGAGCTTCATCAATTAGTTGGAAAGCGAATGCACTCGGTGACGAAGCTGGGTATAAATAGCAGGAAAAACTACTTGATGTCCACTGTGAACTTTGTGTCCTCAACAAAACAATAATAAGTATACTATACTTGATCTAGAGAATAATCTATGTCTGCATTCACTTTTAGCTTAAACTGTTTTGGGCATTGAGAGTTTGTTTGTTGTTTAACGTCCCTCTGGAGAATTTTTCACTCATATGGAGATGCCAACACTTGCCGATGGAGAGCTGCAAATGACCTATGCTCGGCACTCAGGGCCAATGGTTTTCATTCCAGCATCTACTGTGACACTGGACCTCTGTTTGTATGAAGGACCGGTCTCTACGTCCCACAGTGGGATTCAAACATGTGACAAAAGGATCAACTAACTCCACGACTCTAGAGCAGAGGCTCTTTCCACTGCACCACGTGGGCGACCACGTGGGTGAGAGTTAAATGTGGATATCAGAACAAGCTACTCTGGGCTTATACTCTCTATATATTGATTGATTGTATGTTGTTTAACATTCCTCTCGAGATTTTTTCACTCATATGGAGACACCACCACATGCCGGTGGAGATCTGCAAATTTTGTCCTATACTCGGCACTTACGGCCATTGAGCATCGAGGGATTTTTTTCGTGCCAGCACCTACTGCGACACAGGACCTCGATTTATATGGTCTCATCTGAAGGACCGGTCTCCCCATCCCACAGTGGGATTTGAACCTGCGACGTAAGGATCAACTCCTTACTTCGCTACTCTAGAGCAGACGCTCTAACCACTGCGCCACGGGGGCAACTACTCTCTATTTAAGTTACTTGTGCAATGGCTTTAGTTTAATTCAAAGTTTTGTACTGATCATGTTGAGTCACATTAGCACAAATATCTTTCTGCTGACCTTGACTAAAGACCATCCGCAACTATTCTGGTTGGAAACAATATGTTAATTAATGCATAATAAGTGAAATTACTATGAAAGAAAAATGGTCTACTTAAACCACAAGTTATATTTATAAAAAATATACACTGGTCTCCTTAAGTCATATGAAAGAAACATAAAATATTAAGGAGACCATTTTTTTCATATATTTTTAGGAGGCATTTATTCTGAAAAAATAAAGCAAGAGTCGACTAAATTGTGTTCTATAGATCTTTGATCTGGTATTTCTTTTTAGAAAAAAGCAAATTTAAAAAATCTGTATATTGTCTCCTTAAGCCATATATAATGGTCTGGTCTCCCTAGTCCTTAAATCAGAGTTATATATATATATATATATATATATATATATATATATATATATATATATATATATATAAACCTTTTTCTAGTTTGGTGTGTTGCTGGTAAAAGTAATCCAGAATCGTCAAGGAACCGCGCAGGTCTGAAGACGAATGGATCATCCCATTCATCGCTATGATGAACAGTCCACAAATTTGTAAGTATCTGTAATCATTCATACAATGTAAAATGATAACGACAATGTACCATTATAAATTGAAAATATTTTTTTTTTATTTCTAAAAAAATTCTCCATTATAAAGATAGATGTTTTGGAAAAAAGGTTTCATTTGCAAAAAGTCGAATCATAAAGTGGAAGTAATAACATAAATTCCGCGTAATGCTGCAATATAGTTAATTCTATATTTACTATATGTACGAGTGAGCATCGACTTTTTTTATTTGCAGAGAAAATACAAGATACTTCCTATGTATTGCAAATAATGTGATTAAGCAGTTTTAAGAGAATAATGTTTTATTATTGGTTAAATATATATTACATGTATATATGTACGCAGGGAAAATGATTTTGTTTTAGCTGTTTATTCTGAATTTTGTTTGATATTAAATGCAATTCAAGTTTTATATGTTGGTGTAAAATGCTGAATTAAGTTCAGGTGATTAGTATCGGCAATAAAATTGGTGAAAGAAAATTCAGAGAACTGTTTTCTTTTTGATATGCAGGTGGGTTTACAAAGTGTTGAAGTGAAAAAAAAATAAACGCATTTGGAAAATCCTTGTCACAGGTAATGCACATGTTAAATATAAAAGTTTTGTTTTTTATATAGTTTTCGTGACAGACAGGAGGACGGACGGGTGAATATTTAATGTCGCCAAGATGTTGCAAAAGCGGGAGACAGTAGTAAGGAAACAAGTTACATACACATGCAGGGAAAAAGTTGACTCCTTAAAGCTCAAACTTTTATCAGTTGTATATTCGGAAGGGACACAAAAATAAATATACAAAGTGATTTCACACTTGAAATTAAGAAACTTGCCAAAAATATATAAATAAATAAGAACGGGAAGCACGTCTTCTGCTATATATTAACATTTGAAAGCCTGGACTGCCAATGCGAATTTCCAGACCTTAAAAACACCATCTGAAGAAGCCCCTACTAGTTCAATATTTTACTCTCTTCAGAAATCAAAATTAACAAGGACAGAAAAACATCTTAATAAAGCCATATAAAAATAAACCAGTGAATCCCGTAGAAAAAGAATCTCTTACTCGTGTTCCTTTTGGAACCAAATGGCCCCTGATGGTACAGTCCTCAAGTGTGTAATGAAGGATAGACAAAGGGACGTGGGATATGTAACGTAGTGTTTCTAGGATCACTGCCTCTGTGAAGGGACATGAAGATCGGTCGTTGATGTGCGCCTCTCTTTCGCCAATTATGTCATCAATTTCATTTTGTATTTTATTCTGGATCTCCGGATAATCCACCAAAAGGTGAATAAGCGACATTAAGGTGCCTCTGGTTGTTAGAAAACCTGTAACATTTTAGCATATCTCTCTTACGGTCACCTGTATATAATTAGCATAGGATCAATAGAAGTATGAAATAATACAAGAACTAAAAGAATATATTGTGTCTAAAATCTAAAGTAATATGAACCAAATTAGTATTTGTTAGAAAAATGAAATAATTATTTAGATGTTTAAAAATTGTTACATATTTGTAAGAACCACTTTATTTATCAAACAAAGTTTCATCCTTATATGGACGCCGTGATATATTTGATAGGCTGTTTAATTACTATTCGGATATATTGCCATTCAAAGGACTAACACATTTTTTTTTTAATCTGGATAAAAAGTCCGACAATTTTCAACCTCGTTTGCTATAATTTTACCGAGTCGGATCTTTTTTCCGTATAGTCGAAATGCATAGGCGAAGGATAAAAAAACGTATGCTGATCAATAAAACACATCATTGCGATTATGTATTTAATTTATGGAGACATGTTTATTCTGTTTTTCCTTATCTGTGAATTACCCGTTTGTTTTGTACACAGGCATGTGTATTCTGAAAGCTCAGGATGTATTTAGTTTGGGCGCTCGTCCATGTAAAACTGCAAGTACTTACAAGCATGTATCCGTAAAATCGTGTATTGGGATATTCTGTTTATTCGACGAAATAAAAGAAATGCATAAGTATATCATTCTGCACAATACAATTATAAGTTTGGTAGCAAATAATGCAAACTCAGAAGTGATTAATTTAATTTTCGATTTTCCCGAGAATTGAAAACGTCACCTCCACTTACAATTATTATGCATGTGTACATGCAGTTTAAACCATGAGACAGAAAAATAAATTGTTGCAAACCTAGTGGTTAAGTCGGCAATTAAAATGCATAAAACTTAAAATGAATAAACGCACAGGCGGATAAGACAATGATAAAATAAGCGTGAGATAGAGTGATATAAAATAATATTTAAAATTCGAAATGATTTCAAACACAATTTTCCATTAATCGCTATGAGTACACTGCATTTTAACACCGATATGACCGCGGCTCGCTAATCTCTGCGGCCACGTGTGAACGGGGTTACAAATTTTAAAGTTAAACAGAGAGACAGAGCGGAATGTAAACTGTCTGCTGCAAGAAGGCTTGAATTATTGTATGTTTAAAAGTATTATTTTATGTATATAGTTTATTTAATATTAAATGAAAAATTAAATGAAGAAACAAGAGACTGATAGTAAAAATTATACTTTACACAAGTATTAATACTTAATATTTCCATCACTAATTGCAATTATTTGCCGTAGCACCATTTCAATTACAATTGAAATAGAATACAGTAACACGGGATAGAGAAATAAATTGTTTTTTTTATCATATTGTTGTGTCGACAGTGACCAGGTCGGTGAAAGCGAAAATTCGTAATGATTTTATGCACTAGTGTTTGGAATTAAGACTAAATCAAAGATGAGATTAAGTTATCTTAAAGATTCGATATAAATAAAAAACACATAATGTTTCATTAATCGTTGTTTTTACACAATGGATTTGTCTTCTCAGATGTTTATTTTGTTTACATGGCTTATGCATGTTATGACCGCGGGTGGCTGGTACACTGGTGACCTCGGCAACGTGGGATCGCGGGTTGTGTTACATAACTAATAACATCGAGGTGAACATGGAGAACGTAAACTGGTAAAATGCGTACAGTTAACTAGAGCCCAGCTCGTTGCAGAGCAACGAATAGGTCTTCCGTTGGAGCAGTGACCTTGAGTCAAGGTCATGCCATATTCTAAGATGATTAATAATCTTTTAAGGGACTATCAACTTGCAATGCTTCGCCAGTAGAAAGACAATAAAATAATATACACTTTCTATTTCGTGACCTTGAACTTGTCCAGATGACCTTGCATCAAGCCATGACACACTCTGGTTATGACGCAAACCTATCTGTGTGACCGACTTGACAAGTTAACACATGTTCTTTCAGACCACACATCCAGTAAAAGCATCTTGTTCTTAGTGACCTTGAACTTGAGTCAAGGCCATGACACAGTCTGTATGATACCCAACAATACCCATTCTGGGTGTTTCCAACTTGACAAGTTTACACATGTTTTTTTTTTTCATTTCGTTTCCATATAATTGTAATTTATTACTTTTAACTCGCTGGCTTCAAATTTTATTGTAAATATGTTTTATGTCCAATTTCGATATTGAAAAACGTCGGTGTCCTTGAGTACGTGTACAAGGTGCATTACGTTACCCTATCACATCATGTTTTATAACGCAGACCATACATGTATATATAGTCAGCGTTATAAAAAGGTTTTAAAAAAAACCCATTTTATTCATCAAAAATCTCTGCTTAATTATCTTTGCCGATTTCTTACAGAACTAGAGTGTTCCCAGGAACGCATGGTTTTAGCTTCAATAAAGATGTAACTAAGTCTAAAAGTTATCAGCAATTTATTTGCTATGGCATTGAATTTAGTTCATGCCAAAAAAAAAAAACAATCCAGGGACAGTAAGACTGCGATAGAATCTAACAATCAAATAGAAATGCAAATCCTTAACCCCTGAAAGCTAAAATGGATATTAATGAAATTTGAATAAAGGAGATGGGTGAACATGACGAGCGATAAGCCTATAGTGTGACAAACATGAAGATGAAAAATTAAATTTCAATTATATCAAAATTTTCCTTGATATTTCGTCTAACATTAAAATATACTTTATATAAAATCTCTATAATTTGCAAAAATCCCTCAAAGATTGAAATTATTTGCCTGAGAAATATTAGACACACACTAAAGCGGGCAAAATGAGTCATTTTCTCATACTATAATGCTATTTTTCGATATGAGTGGGTCTTCGCTTCACTTTTTTGAAAGTTAATCCTCAAAGTTTGCATAAAAATTATTTTTTTTTGGTTACCAAAAATATGGAGCAATGACCCACTATACCTTAAAAATATACTTTTATGACATAACATTCGCATCTTTTCGAGAAATACTTGAAGTCCATTAAGTCAAGGGTCATATCACAAACATGATTTAAATGCCACTCTTCATCAGGACTTGTGTAGTCTAGTGGTTAGCGTGCTAGTCTCGAAAGAAAATAATACTGAGGATTTTTATTGCCAGGGTTCGAACCCATGAATACCACATATTTATTTTTTTAATAAAAGAATAAATTTTGCCGAGAAAATTTTCCTCAGAAAAGTTTTGTTTATCGTAATTTCATAAATTTCAATAATGAGAACTTTACTCTAAATACTAAATTCACAAACTGAACATGATTTTTATATATCTGAAGCTATAGGCTTTTTGCACGCTATGTTCACCCATCTCCTTTATTATAAATAATTATATATAAATTATTTAAGTATGTGATTTCAACAATCCTTCGAAAGAGGCTTCAGTCCATCATATCACCAATTGTCAGTCTACACCATCCATTTTGGAATATCGATCCCGTTGTATTTTCATAGTACTTAAATTTCAGTTTTTGAGGTTTCCTTTATTTCATACAGTGTCAAAATACATTGTCATGAGCTCATAAACATGTATAACTGTTAATTATCAAACCCTGCCTCTGTAATTTCAAAAGACATAAGTTAAATTTAACCCTCCGCAGTATATTTTACAAAATAGGTCAAAGGTCAAGGTCAAGTGGACTGTAACGCTGGTATTTTTCAAAATGTTTTATGACAAACAGTACACATTCTAAATAGCATAGACTTACCTCATAAATATCAAAATGAAGTTGTATATCGGCATTATTGGTTATTTTGAAAAGTAGGTCAAAGGTCAAGTTCAAGGATATCTAGGTCGGAAGCCATGGAAAAATACAAAAGCCATAGTGTCAAGCTATATGTGCAAATTATCAAATCCATACCTCTTACATTTCTCGAGATATAAGGTGTGACAGACGGACGGACAGCAAGACAGACGCCAGGTAAATTGATCGCTAAGTGCTGCTCTACTCTGCAGGCGACACAAAAATGTTTGTTTGATTTTCTCTTTGTTGTTTAACGTCCCTTGAGCTGCCAGCATTTGCCAGTGGAGGGCTGCAAATTCAGACCTATACTCGACACTCAAGGCCATTGAGCAGTGGGGGATTTTTTTCATGCCGGCACCTACTGCTACACGGGACCTCGGTTTATACGGTCTCATCCGAAGGACCATACTCCACGTTCTGTAGTGAAATTGTTTGTTTGTTTGTGTGTTAACGTTCCCGTCGAGATTTTTCACTCATATATGGAAACGCCACCACTTGCCGGTGGAGGGCTGCAAATTCAGACCTATACTCGACACTCAAGGCCATTGAGCAGTGAGGGATCTCTTTCGTGCCAGCATTTACTGCTACACGGGATCTCGGTTTATACGGTCTCATGCAAAGGACCGGTCTCCATGTCCCGCACAGGGAGTCGAACCCGCGACGTAAAGATAACTCCTTACTCCGCGACTCTAGAGCAAACGCTCAAACCACTGCGCCAGGCGGGCGACTGGTGGTATTCGAAACCACGACTACAAATCGTAGGGGTAGAAATATTTTGATAAAGGTACTATCATTGTGAAAATCAACTATGTGCAAATAAGAAATAAAGGGATCTAAAGAAAAGAGTTATTGTGATTGACATTGTAATTAAAACAGAGACAATTAAGAGTATTTTGGCTGTGCTGGCCTTTCTGACATTTGAAGTAAAATTTTAGAATAACTTATCATTGAAATGAAGTTGTAAAAGTGTATTATCAATTATGTTCATTTTCATCATTAGATGTGTGCTAATAAATTTGTTATATTCAAGTCCATGTATATGTACTCCTTGTCATTTTTTTTTCTTTTGAACCGCGCGTGCAAGTGGAATTAAATTATAAAAAGTTAACATACTTCTTAAATGCATGGATTTTAGGTTACACACTTCTGGACATTAGAAATAATTAAGTTTATAGTTTTGCCGATATTTTATCGTATGCTAAAAAATATGTATTACATAAAACATGTATTTTAAAAAA